CAATGGATGCAGGTGGCTCAGGACCGTGCTTTGTGGCGTACCTTGGCAGAGGCCTATATACAGCAGTGGATATGTGAAGGGCTGTAATGATATTCATGATGATTTTAATGTATATTTTTTCCATTTTTTTGGTTATTCATTGTTCCCTCGGTGTAATTTCAATAATAATTTTTCTTTGCTCTTTTCTTTTTTTATAAGTACTGCATGTTTTGGTTTTCTTTGTACCTTTAGTCAGCAAAGAATTTTAAATTTGAACAACACACAACAGACTGACAAATTTAACTAAACAAAGAGATTCTTGATTTTCAAAAAAATAACAGAGCGTTACATGATGAACATTGTATTCGATATTACAAATTGCAGGGAAATATTAAGTATTACTATATTAACAGTATTATGTAATAAACAGCCACTTGAATGCATATTTTTGAAATTGTGACATGCCAAGGTACTGACTTTTTGAGAATTTCTTGTACTGTTTCACAATCTTGTTTTCAAAACAAATACCTGAAATTGTGTGAACCAATAAAGGGCTTTTGATTGTTTTAAAATAAAATGAAATAATAGTAAAATGTATCTATTGACTGATAACATAGAGTTACCCAACTTTTGTATATTCACCAATATATTATTCTATTTATATTTTTTTTCATCAAGTATTATTTATGCAAAAATAATTATACTTCTTAATACACAAAAAATTATGCATGAAAAACACATCCACCATTACAGTCCGTCTCCTGTTTCAGTTTCTCTCTATCCTCTTATCTATCCTCTTGATACCCTTGGCTCAATATGGGATAGTGGATATTTTTACACCTCCACACTGGCATAAAGTATTATGGATTATCATCTCTACAGTCCTACTACAGGCCTTTATTACAGATTGGCATATTATACATCAACCCTCTGAACTATCTTTTACTGTATAAAATATAATGTAAAAAGCTATAAGAGTTTGTAGTTTGGGGTCGGCTTTAGTAATCTGCTGCATGATTTAAGTGATTATTTTAGCTTTAGTTGACAGGCAATGATGCTATTGATTACCATCTAGCTGCTTTTTATGCCGAAAATCTTTATTTTTCGAGATATCGATAGTTAAAGTTAAGAGGTTATATCGAGTTGGCTAGACATCTGGTACTTGATTTTGATAATGTTTTTAGTCTAGGAGGCTTGTTAGGTTAAGCTTAAACCTATTACACAGTTTTTAGATGCCACAAATGCATTTTGAATTAATTAAGATATAAAACAAATTTCAACAAAATTAGTGTAATAACGAAAGGCAAATATGTCAATTTGTTCTCGTATTATGAAGTAGATTTCCAGTACTTGATTTTTTAATTTTGTTTTCAATTTAGGAGGATTGTCAGGGTTAACTCGAACCATTTACAATGTTTTTGGATTTCGGAAATGCCTTTTGAATTAATTATGATAAAAATAAATTCCACTTAAAATTGCATATAAGGAAATGCAAATATGTCTATTTGTTTTTTTAACACAGATACACTCATAAAAAAGTTAATCACTCGGACCCAGACAATCCATTTGTGGCTGGAGATGGGCCTTATATACAACAAATTAAGTCGCAGTGGAGAGCAGTCAAGAGGTTTTTCGGAAAACAAAATTATAACAATTCACATTACATTATTTCATTTACCACTCTAGTAGCAGAATTAAGAGCAACTAAACTTTATAGCAATTAGACTTTATAACTAGATAAAATTGGTCAAATCGGTTCTAAAACCGAATTAGCACACCCATACTCCATATAGTCTTGTCTGCCCTACCCCTGGAGTGTTTTTGTAAAGCTGTAGGCACGGAGGGAGAGCAATACCCCGCCCGCTGTAGCAAATCGCAGGCACCTAAGTGAGCTGTAGTAGCTGAGGCTGGTTGTCGATGGCGACCAATAAGCCGAAGCTGCGGAGGCAAGCATGGGTGCCTGTGATTTGCTACGCAAGGACGAACGGGCTGCACTTCCCTCAGTGCCGAAGCCGTTGCAGATGTAACTGCACCAATATTCCTGCATAAAAAAGTGAGGTTATAATTTTACAAAAAAGGGGGGTTTCCGGGACTTCCCCTTTTTAGAGGGAGGTTCCTACCCCAGCCCTCCCCCCCACTCGGCGACCATATATTCATGCGGCAGAATACTAAAAAATTCATAAAAAAACCTTTTTTGGGGGGGGGGGGATTTTCCGGCACTTAAACCTTTTAGGGGGAGGTTCCTACCCCTCCCGCCTCTACTCGGCAACTCGGCAAACATAAATTCGTGCGGCAGATTACTAAAGAAATATCATAGTTTGTATTACCACTTATCAGATAGGCTTTAAATTTTCTTGGTGTGAGAAAAAATATACCTATCTCAAACAACACAACAATTTCTGAATTTAATACACTTTAACATTATGTCATCTTTCATTTATAAATAATATTCTATGTAAGTTTAATTGTATTTTATAACATAAAATATATAAATAAATTAACATAGGTAAGTTTATAAAAGATACCAAAATTTTGAACTCCCTATTTAAAAGAAAAGAGTACAAATTTATTTTAACAATTAATCATTAAAATGTTAAAACTAAGTAATTTAGGAATTCAGGATGTGGGTAAGTAAAAATTATTAAACACACATTGGGTGACAACTAATGTTCTAGAACCCTCTGGTCACTGGTGTATAAGTATGAATAAATATTATTACTACTGAATATTTTGCTTATATATTATTGTAATATAATATGTTTGTACATAATATGTAGACCTAGATATTAATAAATTTGTAAGTAATAAACATTACAAACAAATTTGGTAAGTTTTCTTGTAATGTTACTAATACAGAAAAGGATTTTAATATTTTTTCTTTCTAATTTGTTATTTTTTATTTCTTTATTTTATAATTTGTTATTTTATTTTAAACAGCAGATTATTGAAATAACCATATATTTCGAAATGATTAACAACTAAAGTAAAGGATATTTACGTTTCTATTCAAAGTGGCACTAACTTTGTGAGTGAATGGGGGTAGGAGATTTCTTGAAGAAAACAAAAATTGAAGACTTTAAATTTAGTTCATTTTTATATAAAGTAGTTAGTCTTTTCAGTTCAGTATACTGGCCCGTGACGTACACACTATCAATCTCTAACAATTGGTTGTTTTCTTTGTCCATGAACGCAATTACGATAATAAAAGTATATAATTTTAAACCACGTTTAGCCAAATTTCTGTCATAATAATTATCTAGGTCAATAACATACAGTATTTAACCTACTTTATTTAGTCAACATTTATATAAGCTGAAAAACTTGGATATGGTGAAAACTTGCTGGTGTGTTCTTACAAATTTATTATTGAATCACGTACCTGTGTAACTGTTGTGAGATGCGGATAAAACTCAGGAGCCTCGGGATTTAAAACTGAATTCATATTGTTCACCTATTGTTTAAAATTTTGCAAAATAAAATAAGTAATTACTACTTCCAGCGTGCAAAAGATGGGCTGTGAAGAATGAACAAAACAAATTCCATGGAATCGAACGGAGGGATACAGATTACAATAGGTTTCTCTGTCTACGGTACAAACTATTTTTTTTTGCATACAAGAATAGTCTATGGTACGGACCAAAGAGTATATAATCAGTAAGTTTTGGTATAGACTTTAGATAATGATAAATTACAGACTTCAAAACGATAAATGCTGCTTCGGTGAATAAATAGGAAAATGAATAATATACGACAAATGTATAATTTCTTAGCAAGTTCATAACTTTTAAATGCAAACAAAATATGTTTGGTGGACCAATATTATTTTACATATTAGGGATACTAAATTGTAATAAAATAAATTAGTTTAAATAAATTTTAATATTTATTCAAGAAAGTGAATGATTTTGAATCTAATAATTATTGAACGTATCTTTACAACATTGATTATTTGTCATTGAGTATATTACAAAAGTTTTGGCAGGAATTTGGCCGACGTCGGAAATGTCGCTCCTGTTTTGTCGCTTGAATAATGGCTTGAAGTGGATTTTAATTCGTAAAAGTGATGTGATTTTGTGAATTAATTGTCTGCGAACTATTAGGGAAAACTACGAAACAAGTGCTTTGATGTCGGTATAAACCTCAAGTTATTTTGATCGCTTATGAAATTGAGTGACTGTCGTTATCAACTGTCCGCTGGGTTGAGCTGTCGTCAAAATCTCCCAAGGGCTTTGCAATGTGACGCACCAGCATATTATGAAGAAAAGAAAAAAAAGTGCGGGAACCTTGAAACTGGACTAATAAATCTATATGGATTGAAACTTATAAAGATTATAATATAAAGAAGACTTGGCTTTATAGTTTTTGGCCTTTGTGGTTTTTGAAAATATGAAGAATTAAAGAAAATAATAATTGGCTTCGGCCATTATGGATTTTGAAGAGATGGAAAAAAGAAAAATAAGACTTGGTTCCGGCCTTTTCATTTCAAAATTTTATATATTGAAATTAAAAAAAGACAAGGCTGTATGGCTTAGTTTCTTTGCCTGTTCTCTCGAGCGAATAATAAAAACAACAACAGTATTACGATCAATGACATTTGTATGATTTTGACATTTCGTTATAGAGGATCAATTGAGGGTGAGGGGTTGTTTTGGGGAGAAAAAGTAGAGGTGAGGTGGTAGTGACATAAAGTGATGTATATTTATTAATTGGAGTATTAGAGTGTAGCGTCGGTCATTTTCGAAGCAAGTGTACTGCGATTGCGCGTTGTGACGTTTAAACTACGCATCTGCAGCAACCAAATAATACATGAGTTAGCAAAGGACAGAGCATAAGCCCATTGAACGAATATACACCGGGTATGTTTAACATTGTCGATATTTTGTGGGATAGGCGAGGGCCTGCCTAGATACTATACGAGTGAACCTTTCTGTACATGTTATATACGTTGCTTATTTTTGATTGTTGTGTTTTTCCTTCCATCACATGATACTGCTAGCAATTATACGGTACCTGTATCTGACATGACTTTAGAAGATCCTTTTTACGTCGTCAAAGAGTAAGTGCATATATATGAGCTGTCATAAACGTAGGAAGGGCACCAAAAATGTGTCACTTGTTACTTTTGCAAAAAAATTGGTGTTAATGGTTTTGCTGCTTATACACAAATTTTATTCTATTTATTTATTGTAAACTATGCTACGTTACTTTTTGTATACCATATGGCATTATTTTTAGGTGTGATGATAACATATTCAAGATAATATTCCCAGTAGCGAAGGAAGCTGTAATGGCTGACTGCAGCATTTGTGTATTGTTAAAGCTATTGTAGATGGATATATATTAGAATCAGTTTATCAGCCATTGTATTGATTGTTTGGGTACAAATTAAACAGAATAAGGTTCAATGGCCATTAAATAGCTTGGCTAAAACATTTAATTAACATTAAAATGGAATAAAAAATTATTAGACCTGATTGATGGTTTTTAAGTGTTAAGAACTTTATTATGCTTTGAGTTCTATTTATTTGTGTAATGACATTACAGAATTATACTAACATTAAATTAGATCATATAACATTTACTCAGTAAAAAAGCTAGTAATGATATACAATGCTTTTATAGAATTTAGTCAATTTAATTTTCATAGCATCTTGTAATACGGTATGACTTGATGACAGTGACTGTCACTAATAAATATTGAGTGTCATTAGTTAGTCCAATTTAGTTTATGATCGGCAATCAATTCCGCAACTTTATGTCAAAGTGTGTATCTTGCATGGGGGCAGAAATATTCTGATAAATTGAGCCTTGAAATCTCATCAATTAAATCCAGCTATCCCTATCAAGGGATATATGATGTTGCCGATGACCTCTGGAAGCAATCTAGGATGCTAGGATGTTTAACCATCTATGTGATGAACTCTGGACACATCAGTAACACATGAGCAGCGGTTTCTTTCTTCCTCATATATGCCCTGCACAGGGGATTGTCTGTAATATCTTCGGTGAACAAATGCTGCTTAAAATAACTATGTCCAGTAATAACACTTGTTGCTCTCTGAATCTGTGGTTTATTTAGTCTCATTAGCACCTTGCATATATGATCATTAACTAGTGGTAAGGCTCTATGTGATCATTAATTGCTAGTTTAATTTTTCCTAAGCTGAGTGTGTTTAGTATGTGTATGTATAAGTGAACAAATATTCCCAAATATAGTGGGTAGGTATAATTGGTTCTAGCTATATGTCTAAAAACAGCTAAACATGAGATAATTATTGTATTTCCAGCTTAGAATACAATATTTTACATACACACATTATTATTTTATAGGTAGTTTAGTAAACGATAGGTTGTTTTCCGCAACTCCATGACTAGCCACGTATTTTAGTGTGTGGGCAGGAATAGTATAAATTATTCGAGCCATGAAATCTCCCTGAAGAAGTTCAATACTTTGATGTTGTGAGCAACTTCAGGGAGTGATCGAATCAAATCGGCATACCAAGATGTTTAGTCCTGTGTGTAGCAAATTCCTAGTTTATAGGTATTAAACTAACCAAAGATATTAATAAACATAATTACAAACAAATAGGTACATTTTTTGTTTACAAAATGGAGGTTGGTTGCTTATATAGTGTTATGTATTACAAGAATTGAAACACATTGTATTATTATCAAGCTGATGACTTAGTGCTGTTGTATGCACTTGATTGCTTTTTAAAATGCATTTTAATAATAAAAGTCTAAACTGTTAATTTTTAAGTACAGTGGATTTCATTTATTACAACCTTGGTTGTAGCGACCATTAACCTATAGTGACTTTAAATATAAGTCCCTTGAGTTTGAGGCATACTTTAGTATGAAATTCATGTAGCTGTAGCGACTTTGGATGTAATGCGGAGTTCTGGTGTAGCTTTCTTTCACAAAAATTTCTTATCTTTTGTTTATATCTACACAGATGGTCAGCAAGTGTGGAGACCTTTACCTTTTGATTATAGATATCAGCTAAGTAGGTAGAGAAGCATGTGCATTCCGAGTTAAATTTATAGGTCAGTTACAAAGTTATATTCTGAGTAACATTTTGAAATATACCAGTAAATAAATATGTGTACAAATATTTTCAGATGAATCAGAATGAATACTTATATACTATATACATGTGTACGTGTCTGTATCTCTTTACCTTTGCCTGTAACGACTTCTGGATATAACGACGAAATTAGAGTGGTCTCTTTATCGTCATTATATCCGAAACCCACTGTACTAAGAAATATGCCTAGCGCTGGTAAGAAATATGCCTAGTGCTTGTTATATTTCTTACAACTTAAAAATTCTATTCTATATCCAAAGGCACCACAAATTTTGAGTGATATTTTCTAATAGCTTATATACATCTTTTTTATTATGTATCTCTTTTGGTTTTACAATAGTTCATGACAGATTAGTTAAAATGCTCCTTGTGCTACTTGGATTATATTTTACGATCATTTCATTTTAGGTAAGTTTTGTTTTGTAAGAAAATACCTTTCTTTGAAAAAGGCTTTAATTACAAATAAGAAACATTCCAACATATTTGTTCCTTTCATAACATTACTCTTGTATAGTATTATAGTACACACAAATAATAATAATACTGCTGTAATTTTGGCTAATGAAATATAACCATAATTATTTTAGTAACAATATGTCATTTATTCATAATGTCAGTATGGCAATATATTTTCACATTTTATTATTTTTTGTCAATTATTTAAAGACCATACAAATTATAGTGACTTATTTGATTGTAGAAATAGGGACAGTGGGCTGCTGCATATCAATCAAATGCATATCAATAGCACTAATAAGCTAGCCCATCATATTGTGAGTGGCAATAAGTTGTAAGTATGTACAAGAGCTCAAGAAGCTATTTTTAATTGTTAAAACAGTTCAAAGGGAGAATTTGCAAGATCATCATAAAAATCCAGTATTGCTGTTGGGCTTGCAGAAGTGTTTGTTTATTTCCGTATTGCATCTGTTAGAGGAGTATTGTGTATAAAATTCACGTTGTTCCTCCAGACATCTGTCATGACTGTATTGTAATCACAGCAATTTTCTTGATTGTTAATAGCAGATAATTTGTTTCTTTATAAATGCAGCAGATGAATTGGATTTAAAAACAATCACATTACCTGAATCCTATAAACATTTAATTCTGCTCCAAATTCAGATTTTACTCATCACACAAGTTTCACAAACTATGTGCGATGCGTGTGATGATGTTGGCATTTCTGTAAAATTAACACTTAGGGCGCTTAAAGACCATCAAAACCCAGTCTACAATATAACCAGCGCTGTCATCGACAATGTCTTTCGGCCCCTGCCATGTAACTAATATATTACATTATATTTTGTAACTCCACTCTACGATTTTTGCTTTAGAAACAAGAATGGGAAAAAGAAAATAAACACTACTTCCTAAAACTCAAAGCCAAAATACGTCTGTTCCGCTACGTATTTTTGTATGGCTTATCGACAATGCCACTGGCACTGGCACTAGACTACGAAGCCGCTGGCACTAAGCAACTATATTGCCAGTCACTTGATCAACCGAATTGTCTAAAGACCTTCAGGATCTTTCTGGCTTGTATGATAAAATTATTCTTTTTTGTGGACAGTGAGGTGTTCAAGGCATTGAACAAAACTCGTGGCTTGTATTTACGGTGGCAGGAAATATCAAACTCTCCAACAATTCCTAATAGCCCAGAAGTAGAATGGACCTCTACAGAATTAAGGAATGCACTCCGTAGTATTGAATGGGATTTAGAAGATTTGGAAGATACAATAAATATCCTTTTTAATAATAATTTTATAATTGTAATATAGCGTTATTTGTTTGTAATCAGAAGTAATACATAACAGATTGCGCTCTTCTAATAAATAATATTCTTTTTATGCAACCCGTGTCCTACAAATATCCATTTAGTGCTGCATTTTCCATTTGTGTCCGCAGGCATGTCGCTTAACTTTGTGTGGTGGCCACTGTTGCGCCCCCAAGTCCTTCGAAATGTGGCAGACATGTTCGATTCATTTCTGTATTTGTTCGGTGGATAACCAACATCAGCCTAATAAGCCTATAATTATCTAGGAGTGTATTACAGTAGCATAATGGCAGGGCGCGGACCGCGAACTCATAAAGGTCGTGGGTTCGAATCCGCCATTCGACTACTGGCATGAACCACTCGTAACAAGCAATTTCAGCTATCCACGAGTAGTTAAAGTTATTAGTAATGTTTATAGCATTGTTAATATATATTTTTTTAAAAAGAAAAAGAAGTTTGTACGATGTTCTTTGTAATGATGATGACAACCTATATGATGACTTGGATTATATATTTGTACAGTGTTGAAGGTTTTCCGTTATATTTTTAATAATAATTTGTTAAAACTCTATTTAACGGAATCTTTTCATGTAATTTTCACCTACATGTAGATGTGCGACTGACATGAAAATTTGCACTGCTATCAAGGCCTTAATGACAATGCAATAATTTAATAACTATATCCAGGTATCCAAATCAGGATGACGAGGATATATATAATTCTATCTTTAATGCGTTTCTTTAATTTTTTTAAACTATAATTTATTGCTAAGTCATAATTAACTTAACTTTCTAAGCAAGCATTGTTGAGAAGAATTCTTCCAAGTTTAAGATCGACAATAAAGAAATTTGCGATAGAAGAACTTTCATTGAAGCGACTAAACAAGAAGTTAAGGTAAGAGAATATTAATTTAAAATGTGTTGGCTCAGGGACTCGGTGCCTTCCTTAACTTTTATAGAACGCAATCCATCTTAATTCGATCCAAACCGGTACTAAATGCTGATTAAGTGCTCGGCGGTAAAGAAAAACATGTAATGAAAAACGGCATATTGAAAAAAAAATATTTTCATAATTTGTGAAATCCTGTATATAGCAAGTGCATGCATGTCGGTGGGAGTTTACTACTTTCTACTATTTAAAGTGGAATAAATTACACAACATTAACATATTCTTTAAAAATATAACATTACTGTTTATATTTCATATTTTTTTAGAATTAAAACATTAATTATTATGTCTACAATTGGATTTGGCGTTCAATGGTAGATGCGTATGTTTATAATTTATTTAATTTTAAACATTCGTGCCATTTTATAAAGTGAATTCTTGTAAAGTGGTTCTATTTAGTTACATTTTTATTTAGTTATATTTTATTTATTTATATAACATTATTCAGCTCCAGCTAAAGCCTAATAGCAGCAAACATATTCGTTAACTTATCACTTATAGGATACACAAATAAACAAATATTATTACCTTATATTGATTTACTAATAAAGTTAAATATTTGTATTATAAAAAGCTGCAAGCGTGTAATGTTATTGCGGCTTCTCACTGCGTGTGTTATCATCACGCGCCGCGTCGCCCGTGTAGATTCGTACGCGCAAGCACGCGCCACTCGCGAGCCCCGCGCCACCCGTTTTAACTAACGCGGCGCGGTGCGTGCTTGCCCAAACTCTGAGCCACCGACACAGTCTGTTTAGCGCAGCGCACCGTGTCGTGCGAGTCGAATTGCCACCTCCAGCCATGGAGCAATGCCACTGAAGAAGATGGCATCGCTGTTGCTTCAGCCGCTTTTGTTTTATTTTGTGGATATCATTTACTTAATAAAATTAAAAAAAAGAAGAGGAAAAGGCACTGGTGGATGACATCGTTCAAATTAAAAATTCAGCAATCGTCTCATTAGACCACTCTATATCTATATAGACATGAGAGTACCTCAACGTCGGACAAGTTAAGACGAAATTAACGATTTCTATCTTGTAAGCACACGCCGCGCCGCACGCGCCCGCGCAGCGACGCGTGACCTCGCGCCACGCCACGCCGCGTCTTTGAAGTTACCGATTTTAAACGGATAGTACGCGCCGCGCCACACCTGCCCGCGCCGCTCCGCGTCAAGCTCTTCCCACTGGGGGCGCGGTGCGTGAGAACATACGCAGTGAGAAGCCGCCATTAGGTTGTTATAAGGGTTTTTCAAATTGCGCGGGTAGATTTTGGCGGCCCGTGGCGGCCATTTTGTTTTGGTGACATGTGAACATTTATTAAATCATTTATTAATTCTTTTATTATTTTATTATCGTGTAACTTGCCATGGCCATGGTTATTTGAACAGCACGTTCAAATAATAAAACTCTATTATCAAAATAAGCGTTCGTTAGTGCAAACGTAGTGCGCATTGCGACCATTTTACGGTAGATGTGGTAGCCCTTCACAGTCGACATTTCAACGTTCCTTGGCCAAATTTACATACATGCCATACAGCGGACGCCACGATTTACATTCTCCATGAGCGATTTGAGGGCAGGGGTGATGTGAACTGGCCACCAAGTTCATGTGATTTGAACCCGCTAGACTTTTTCTTGTGGGGTTTCTTGAAGTCGCAGGTCTGTATGCAAACAAACCACAATCGACCATGTCCTAAAGGTGAACATAACACGGTCTATTGCTCAAATTCAGCCGGATCTATGCAGAAGAGTCATTGGAAATTGGACCATTCGGATCCGTGCCACTGTAAGAAGCCGAGGCGGGCATTTGAACGATGTCATATTCCACACTTAATGGTACACGTTGACTTTTCAAATAAGAATATAATTTTGTTTATACCTCACACACAGCTTGTTTATTTCATTTCAACATCTACCCGCCCTTATTGAAAAACCCTTTATTTACTTATATTTTACATTTACTTGAATTTTATTAACTTTCAGGTAATGAAAGGCAAGATGAGTATGAATAGAAATCGCGATAATGATGGAACGGCACGCGAGCCTCTTCTCGGTGAAGAAAGTCCTATGCATTTCGGTAATTCATGGACATCCACACCGAAGTATTCTAAGTATTCTAAGTTGGCGAATCAGACGGACAGTCCTAACAGATTTGACATGTATGACAACGATATCATGTCGATGCAAGAGAAAATGTTGATGAATCAGGACGATCAGTTGCATGTGATCAGTAATTCTGTGGGCTCACTGAAAACAGTTTCGAAACAAATCGGCATTGAACTTGACGAGCAAGCTGTGTAAGTCACGTCTTATCTTTGAAATAATATGATTTTTTTGCGAAATTCTTGCCTATAATGAATAATCTTCCGCTGGTCATTTTCATTTAAAAATTGTCCGAAGTTTACGCATAAATCGAGACTCGCCCTAAACCGGTGTAACGTGGTTTTGCAATGAGAGTGACTCTCAGAACTCTTAGATTCCCCCAGAATAACAAAATCGCTCTGCTGTTCCGAAAAGTTTAAAATTTTTCTTTTTTTATAGAATAAAGGTGACAAACGAGCACACAGTCCACCTGATAGTAAGTGGTTGCTGTGGCACCATAGACATTTACATTTATCCTCGATTTTAGAATCTAAACGCAGATGCGTTGTCACCCCTGAAGACTAACATGGAATGCCTCGCTTCCAGTATAAAAGAGTCTCCGGATCTCTACACTCACCATACGAAACACAGCAATACTAAGCTGCTATTTTACACTGGTATTCTGTGAGAGCGTGGTCCTTCCCCGGTCGAGCCGACCCATTCGTGCTACAAACATAATATAGCTGCAGCGTAGTTCTACCACGTATGTTCTTTAGTTTGCACTAATTCTTTTGAATCTAATACAAAATTGTAGTTTTTCCGTATTTCATTGCATTCAATATTTTTTCCTTTCAATAGCGCGAGTATTTGAAACTAACTCCAAAATGAGGAAATGGTTTCTCTGCTTCTTCACCATCAACCCGTAAAAGCCCACTGCCAAAAATGACTATTTTGTTGAAACGAGGATTTACTTTAATCGCAGCACATCTTACACCTTTGCTGCCACTCTCAGTACACGTATTATTATGTCTGGTGAAAATGGTTATGTCATTATCTATCGGAAACTTACACATTTATTTATGAAATTGCCATTGTCACATCTTATGAAATCCACAGGACTGAAAGGGCCAATGGATTCTCGTACACCGCAACCACACGACATGTTTTCACTTTCTATACTTAGAAGAAAAACTTGGTCATGCAATTTTATGCAGAAGAATTTTTAAAAAGATATTTTAAAGTTAATGACCACAAAGTAAAGGGCAAAATACAAAAAAAAATCTTGAAGATATGACAGTTTACATTGTAATGTGTTTTACATAATACCGTTTGTTTTACAATTTACGGGCGGAAAAATAATCGTTTTCGAAATGTTTTTCTTTTTCTTGTTTAATAATTCAATTATGTAGTGGTGTAATAATATTCACTAACCCATATTGTCCCGAGGGTGTCGTGAGAGCGACAGAGGGAAAATAAAACAGGAGATGGGCAGCAACATCTTCCTAAGGGAAAATGAAACAGGAGATTGGCAGCAGTATCTTCCTAATAACAACTCTAAATGATAAGTAAATGTGGTTGGCAACCCGCTTGCCAAGAGTGGCAATTATGATGAAATCTCTCTCTCTTCAAAATCCAAAGGCCTATGCCCAGCAGTAGATTTACCCAAACACCTATCATGTATTTTTGCAACGTATTTTAGTAAATAAAAGGTGAATTTTCTTTAGGATGCTGGATGACTTGAATACAGAACTGGAAAATGCAGATTCTAAGTTGGATTCGACGATAAAGAAAGTTGCAAAAGTCCTTCACATGAATAATGGTATGTTAATATCAAAAAAGTAAAAAGTTAATGTAGAGCTGTAATCCAAATACGTCCTTACTGATAAGTATGGGCCTTCACTTATTTCGAAATTATGGAGCAATTAGTTTAAAAAAAATTAAGTGATAAGTGAACTTAGAGTCCACCCAATTGTAATTGGTTACTGCAGCCTAATCTGCAACCAACTTGAAACAAAGAAGACTATAGGTTCATTGTCACCTCTGAGGACTGAGATGGAATGCCGCACAGCCTGTAATCATATTGGCTCTCTGTACCCATAACAACACAGCAGTATCAGTCATTTCTGACGTTAAAAGGTTGGTATCAATACAAACGGTTTCCTGGGCAGAAAATGTTTCATATCGCCTAGTAATGTCCGTCGCGCAGCTTCATAGCCGTGGAGGCGGACTTCATCCGTCCTAGAAATGTATATTTTTCAAACATGCATGTTTCCTCACGATGTATTCTTTAATCCCCGAGCCAGGTGTAAATTCTGACCTAGTAATGTTCTTTAATTTCTAATGAGACTATTAAAATTTATCCTAATGATTAGTATTAGTAGGCAAAAAAGAAGACATTTTTGTAATATTGTCTAATTGTTAATTTTTGCTTCATAACGATTAATTTATGTTCGGGACTTCATTAAATTATCAGTGTTTAACCATATCACCACATTTCACACCAAAATAGTGACAACTGGCAACATCCATTGGAATATTTACCGATTCTCATCTTGCTAAGCTGGGCTGATTCATTCGCACTGAGTACGTTCGTCGTTCACTCGAGCAGATTGCACTTCTTGCTTTTACATGATAAGAGTGAATATCAAAGTTATGTCAAAAGTTGAATTGAACAAATGAACATGCGTAGAAAAATAACTGTTAATGAAAAAAAATTATTTCTTTGATTTGTTTTGTTAAATAATTTTAACCGACGTTGCAGCTCGGCTTGTCGCCCGTACTGTAATATATAGTATCGTACTATATTTCAGTCAATTGTATTTATAAGTTATAGAAAAATATTATTGTACGAAAAATACTATATTTTTATCGTTAATTCAACTGTCGCGCTTTTTTATACAATGATTGGAAATCTGGCACCAGTAAGTAAGTAAGTAAGTAAGAAAGAATTTTTTACCATCATGAATGTAAAATTGTAACAATAAAGAAAAGGCGCATGTATTCATTTAGTTAAAAATTAATTGTTAATTTATTCCAATATGAACTAAATTGTTCAGTCTCCTGTAATTATTTTAAAAGTAAGGTAAGGTGGTGAGATCATTGATGGCCAAAGCAAAAAGCAATAACAATATACTGGGTGATTTTTATTCTGTCTGAAAAAAAATAGATCAATTTCATAATATGTTAATGTAAAATAAAAATAAATGTAAAATATCAGTGCCATAGGCTTCTATTCCGTTCACCTGTTTCACCCTATATTTATATTTATATATATTTTTTATTATTATTATATATTTTTCAGACGGTTACAAAATCATTCAGTGTATGAAAAAATACATAAAGATTAAAATTAATGTGTACTTTTTTACTCCTGAATATCTCAAAACTACTATATTTTTGCGTCTTTACCTAGTGAAGAAAGGAAGTCAATACTGTAGCTTCTTTATTTGTAAATAGAGTTCATGGTTTTTTTAAAGGGGCTAAATTAGCATACAGTTCACCTCATGAAAAATCTATGAAAATCACTAAAGTTACGGTCCGGAAAATTGCGGTTGATAATACGATCCTCTGAGTGGTCGTGTGAGGTTGGAAAAACTTTCTAGGCTTTTCCTTGACTCTGTCGAGTAGATTAGGATTACTTTCCTCTTTTTAGTCGAGTTGGACTAACAACTGGACTATCTGTACAGAGATGACCGCGATGGTTGACAGAAATTTTCTTGGATGGGCTTGGCAAGAGACTTGAATTCATGGGTTCATAAATTCATGTAGGGCGAACTAGTTTCACTAATTCTGACAATGTACTGTGACGGTGTTTTGGCGCCAATACGTAGGACACTCAATACGTTTTGAGATATACAAAAAGTGTTCTAGATACTATTAATAATATTTATTTTACATCTTTTCAAAATATTCTCCATCATGCTCTATACAAAGTTCCATTCGCCTAAAACAACTCTGAAAACACTCGCCAGTCTTGATCTGACAGGTCGGAAATCGTTTCTTCGTAGGCAGCTACGGCTTCTTCGGCATTTGAAAACAACTTGCCTTCTATTTTTTCTTTGACTCTTGGGAACAAAAAGGCAAGGAGCTAAGTCAGGTCTGTAGGGTGGGTGATTTAGAGTTTCAACACCAGATTCCTCAATAAATGCTTTTGTTCTAATGGAGGCGTTATCGTGACGCAGCATGACAAGGATTAAAAATAATAAAAAAATCACATTCCGATGTCGAGGCTTAAATTCATCTATAGATGATTGAAGTTAAGGGGAAATATAATGTCAAATGGCTTAGCAAGATCCTTCGTTATGCCGAAAATATTGCAGCATTAATTTTGAAATAAATATATGGTAAAGTTGAGGATTAATGTTAATGATTATGTGACGAAAACACGATTTCGTAAAATTTTCTCGATAGAAAAAAAAATCCAAAGTTACCTCCAAAATAAACAATAAACCGCTGTTATTCATAAAATACTTTAAATAAGATCATGAAACTTTGCATACTAACTGAACTAACTCTAAAGCAGTGCTTATGTTATTTACTTTTTTTGAAATACCATTATTTTCACTGTAAAAAGAAATTACCTAAACTATCGGCGTCTTGAGCTTGATTCCTGTCGCCCGTTAGTATCGCTTAGGCTTTTGAAGGGAGAAGTTGTGTCGCTTACGATCAGAATATACATTACGCAACAGTACGACGTAAAATTAAAATGGGAAATAACCGTGATAAAAATAAGAAGCGGCTGGCTTGGCGTTAAGAAAAGGGGCATAAATATGATAAACCTAATGAAATAAGTGTCTAACGACCTTTCTACTTACAGTATTAGTGATTACAAACATATCGGTACATAGCATGCGACGCGCGGGGGAAGTGGGGGCGAAATTAGAATTTGAGCTGACTTACTCTATCCTCTTAAGTGATGATAAATTAATATTAGATGAAGCTAAGATAGTATGGTGTATATACCATGCTATATCTTAGCTCCTTTGACGTCGGATTTTACTTTACTATTTAAACCAACTTCAGAAAATGAGGAGGTGCTCAATTCGATTGTATTTCTATGTATGTATATTAAATGCTTCTTATGTGAACCGAGGCGCATTTTAAAGTCAAAATTAAAATTGTGTCAGGATAACGAATCACATATAAAAAAGGACATCATTGCGAAATATCTAATCAGTAGTTTTTGAGTTATACTTAATGATGCGTATTTATTTGATTTCGACTCCATTGATGATGTTCTCATTTTATTTGTATAGAAATCGCTTGTACAGACTTGTTGGAGAACTTTTTTTTTATAAAATGTTAATCTTATATAATTATGGTTTTCAGATCGACGACAGTGGCTTGCCATTGGAATACTACTGGGTCTGTTAATGATAATATTGATATTGTTCATTATAATCTGAATGACGATAATATGGCTGTGTTTGTAAAGATATTTAGATAAGAGACGTGTCAACAGTTTCTTATATTGGAATGTATTAATTTACTGGTAACACTTTCCATTCGGCAAACATTGTAGATGTAATTTAGAAGGGATACACATTAATATAATTTATGTCACATTCACATTGATCGGGTACTACGTTTTTTTTAGTAATGATAGATTATATTTACATGTAGAGATAGAGAGTCAAGAATTTACGATGTTTCAATAAACAACAAGACTGAATTTATGAAAAATCATGGGAAAGTTGCTTTTGTTTTAATACACCTGTAGTCTCAAAGTGCAGCTTAACGTTTAGATCTGTTTAAGTTCAAACTTCAGTGTGGCTAATTATAGAAGTTCCTTACTTGTGGAGCGGGGGGGGGGGGGAGCTTTAACATATCGCACTAATTGATAAGAAGAGTGACACTAACCAAAAAAAACTGTTTTTTCGGTAGAAGCGTTTTAAGTTTTACCAAACCGTAATGACTAGTTTTGCACCATAAAGAAAAAAAATATTATATCATGTTATGGTTTTTATTTTAGAGAGCATTAAAAACGACTGGAATGTATTGTTTATTTTTATGAAAAAGTATTTTTAAATAAGATTTTCCCAAAAAACTTTTTAGTGACGTTATAACATTAATCAAAACGTTCAGTATTTCCTACTACGTGACAACTTACCGACACAATAACAATAGAAAAAAATACATTACGCAAAGAAAAAATAGTTTTTATTTAGAAAATATAGTTTATTGCATAGTTTAATACAAACTACTCAAACATTAAGTTGTTTGCGATGACAACAGCTAAATAAATCACATTTTTATTGATATTTTCAGACATAAAACACTTAGGTGTTATAAACGATAATAATTATAAAAATTGTATATCCAAAATATTAGACATCCTAAAGATAAAAACTCAAAGTAAGGCTCTTGTTTTGTTTATTAAGGCTTTTTTTTAATCAAATAGCTCTGAAAATAACGTAATATCACAATCATGTTTAATTACTTATTATAAATTGCACTTAATAATAATTGAGATCAAGAAAATTACCGTATCAGATTTATTAACTTATTCTTAAAGGATTCTATCAAAATAAGAAGAAACGTAATAATTAGGAATGAGATTTTGATCAATCAATGATTTGATGTCGTTTTTCTTTCTTTCAGCCTAAGGAACCTTAGCTGCATAAAGAGGTTTCAATAGATTGTTGGCATTAAGAACTTCTACCTACTACTCCTGTTGCCTAAGATACCCTATTAGTTTTTCTTTCTTTCACCTAAGGAAGCTTAGCTGCATAAAGAGGTTTCAATAGATTGTTGGCATTAGGAACTTCGTACCTACTACCTGCCTGTTGCCTACGAGTAGCTACCCTATTAGCTTCCAGACTAATCTCTTAAAGTTCTGTCCTAAGTAAGTTTTCTTATAAAATATTTTGACTGTAGCAGACTCATTTAAATCTTTCATCATTTTAATGATTTTAATATCACCTATCTTAACTTTTTCTCCTCCCGTATTCTTGGAAAAAATATTCTCACATAAACATTTAATATTGTCAAAATCACTATGGCTCATCAGATTAACATTGTATGCATTTCCTTTTTTCGTGCGTTCTTTATTGCTGCAATGTACTGGTCAGGAACATAAATAGGGCCAGATCTTAACATTTTTTTTACTTCTCTCTCAATTGTTGAATGCACTGCATCACCCTCATTTTGTGTGTGACCTTTGATTAAGAATTTGTGGGTTATAGATTTTATTGGCAAAGTTTTTACTGCATACAAATAAAGAGATAACATGAATTGGTTTTTTTGTTGCCCACAACAATTATCAGAATAGAAAATAAAATCGAAATCTGGATGTAATAAGGACATTTTTTTCTAAATATTTAAACAAACACGTCCCAATTTCATTAACATCTCTTTGACCTTCTACTTCTGTCCAAAAAAAAAAAACATTCAGTGTGATCTTTTCCCAGTTCAGAAATAGTGAAATTTAAACAATTCAATTTACTTTTATAGTAAAAGATTGATATTTCTCCTTTAGGCAAGGTTATAACTGCCTGCAAGTCATAACAAGACACAATGCAATTACTCATTTTCTTATCATTTTCCTTCTCTATTCTACTTTCATCCTTTTCTTTTAAATGATCTTGATATTTATCTTCCAAATTTTCTTTTACATCGGCAATCCTGTAAGCTGTGCAAAGAACACACTGATCTTTTTTGGGTATAAAAAAACTGATGTTAAACTCAGTATTAAAACTTTTCTATAAATATGTATTTTTACAAATTCGATATTTTTTTCAATGCAATCAGCTTTATAATCTTTGTATAAATCAGCAAGCGTCTTTCTTCCGTCGATAAATTCTCTCGAAGTTTGTTTTCGTAGATAGTGACTTTCTATACGAGGTATACTATTGATGTGACGTCGCACTTCAATTAAATTACCTTCAGGAATGGTTTTTTTATTACTGTGTTTGCCCCTTTGTTCAGGGTCCACTATACCTTGCTCGTTCTTCTTGTCTATCACTGTTCTAATAGGTCGATCACCAATTCCAAGAGTATTTTTAAAAAATATTTTACACACTCTGTTTTTTTACCATTTATCTCGAAATGGAATGCATTCTTTGGTTTTTTGCTGCTATTAAGTCTTTTGTACTGATACTTAGGAAATACGTTAACTAAATTATTAGCTATATAATCTCTTTGACGTGTTAGTGAGCCCAGATTCCAAAACGAGTCAAATAATCTTTTGCGGTCATCTTCAGCAATAATATCACGACATTTAAGCCGACACTTTTCATTACAGGGTCCTCTCATCACCCTTTTTTGCAACAATTTTTGCTGATGTAGATACGTATGATTGTCCTCGATTTCTTCGAGTCTGAGCTGTCTTTTTTTTATTAATTCGTCTGATTTTTTTCGACTATTCCTATTGCCTTCTCCTACAACAGGGTTCAATATGTTAACACTGGCTAGCCCAGGAACTGACGTTAGATTATTAGATTCTAAGGAATGCATGACAGTATTTTGCCCATCTTCATTGCAGTCATTTCTGATAGTAGTAGGTTGGATTGTAGAGATTTTGTCTACAGCGGCAGAAGCCAATGACGCCAACGATGGACACTGGTGATTTCTCGTCGAAAAACATTCAGAAGAAGAAACTAGACCAAGACGAAGAACTTAACGAGGAAGAGGAACTAGACGAAGAATTGCTCGATGATGAATCTGAAGAAGAAGAAGAGTCTGGTCGTCGGCAGTTTGCAGTGGATGGTTTTAATGGAAAGTAACTTGGGTCATCGTCTGAAGCAGGTGAAAAATCACGTGGAATGGAGGTAAATGACCTGGAATTTCTTCTTTCTGCATGAAGTTGTTCATTTGGAGGCAAGTTTTCATCCACATGAAGGGGTTCCTCCTAAAATAAGTAATTATTTTAAATAACACAATAAGTAAAAGAAATGCATCTCATAACTCATGCAGTGATATTCTTAGCTGGGTGACTAGGAGAAGAACAAGGAAAAGACAATAAGCTTTTTTAGTTATTTTAAGTTAACCGCTTATTGTTTCAAATGGTGGTAAGGTAAGTAGTGTATTCTGAATAGTATTCATAGTTTGATTATAAGGTAAGAATCTCCTACCGTTTTAGGTAAGGTAATAAGAAACCTGTTCAGCTTTCTGGTGATCTTTAGGTGTGATTTCTTGGGAAGGCACAATATTAAATCCAAGATTGTGGTTAGAAATATCTTCATTTGCATTTTGGTTAACGTCTTCTTCATTGCGAGTTGATTCACAATGATTTTTGGAGGTCTGGTGTGTCGTTGGTGTATTTGCGCTTTCTAAATGAACAGGTTCATTCTGGATACCATGACACTTTCTTTTTTTGAATTCTTCTTTATCATCTTGTGTGTCCTCAAGCAGTCTTCTAGAAATATTCTTGAGTTTGTTTATTCTCGCATTTTGTAAAGGCATTTTAAGTCTGAAAACAAGCAAATTATGGTCAAAATTACTAAAAGGAAGATCATTTAATTAATTGACTTTAGAAGCATTAAATTATATGTATAACCAAAACCAATATTAAAATATCCCAATTAATAATGACTCTAAACAAAATTCTTTGTTGTTCAGTGTTATTTTCCGTGCTTGCTATTTGGCTTAAAAGAAAAAATGACACAAAAAATCATCCATCACATCCTGAATTAATCATCAACTCAAATGTTTCAAATTCTGTAACGCGAAGAGTGACACTAAATAAAAAAAACATCAGTATGTTGTTCCAATTGAATACAAACCCTCTGTTTGGCTTAAGGGAAGAATGACACTAAACGAATAATGACATCCTGAATCAATAATCGACTCAAATGCTTTAAATTCCGTAACACGAAGAGCGACACTAAATAAAAAATGTCAGTATGTTGTTCCAATTAAATACAAACTCTCTGTTTGGCTTAAGGGAAGAATGACACAAAACGAATGACATCCTGAATTAATAATCGACAGAAATAGTTCAAATTCCGTAACACAAACATCGACACTAAAATAAAAATGACAGTATGTCGTCCCAACATAGCAATTTTTACAAAATAATACAGCATAATACACGACACTTATCAAAATGTGACGGTATTCGTATTAAAGTTAATTCGTACTTACGAAATATGGTCAATCCAAATCGCCTTTAACCAGAAAATCTCACTATGGAATACACTAGATGAAACCGTTTTTGTTAACTTCACAGTCACGAATGAAAAAATGGCGGTCTGTCATAACAGATCGTCTCAACATTGTTGATAGATATAGTTACAACGACAGGTGTTTTTGCATAAAAATTGTATCTTTGCGCGCTTAGAGATGGCACTCCTAAGAGAAAAACATCATTTTTCGTATAGTGACGGTCTTCTTATCAATGTGCGATATGTTATAATAATCATTCTTTTGTTAAATCATATTCATGACAAAAAATTCAAACAACAAGGATGTGGGTATATTCTTAATGGGAACTACCAATCTGGGGTAATAATATGATGTCATATGAGAAACCCCTATTTTGTTAAATAGTACTTGTCACACTAAGTACTTCAGGCCAACCATGATGTTGACCCAACTTTTATGTATTTTTATTTATTATTATTATCATAAAATGTGGCCTATCACAATCCATGTATAAAGACGAATCTTACTTGGGGTCGCCCTTTAATCACGTCAGGTTCGAACATATGGGCAAAACTTCAGAAAAAAATCACGATTAATCGCGATGGGATAATGTGACAATCACATGTATTTTTTGTGGGACGATAAAATGTGATAATGTGTGACGTGTTATATGTTTTACGTTCATCAACTAAATTCTCAATATTATTAATACTTATGGTTCTTAAGAATCTAATTTTATTATATTTTCTTAATAAATAGGCTCTTAAAATTTACAAATACTTGTACTCACAAATGTGTAAAAGTATTTGAAAAAAGTCCGCGTAGCAAATCTTCCAACAGGATCATACATGCTTAAGACCAGCTTTCGATTGACTTAAATTTTAATATCGATACTGTTGCTTTGATAATTTTAGAGAAATTAGTACCCGCACCAGTGTGTATGTGCAATTAAGTCATTTTAATAGAGTGTAATAACGTAAAACATAGCGAACAAACTTGTAAACATATTTTATTACTATTAGAAGTCGGGCAAAGTGTCAGATGTATTTAGCTTTAATTAGTTTACGCTTACATTTCATAATTATACCTGGTAAAGCCACGCTGCAGCTATGTTATGTATGTATTAGTTGTGGCTCGAGTGGGTCGGCTCGACCGGTGAAGAACCACACTCTCACAGAATACCAGCGTAAAATAGCAGCTTAATGCTGCTGTGTTTCGTGTGGTGAGTGTAGAGAACCGGAGACCCGTTTTACTGGAATTGAGGCATTCCATCTTAGTTGTCACAGGTGACAGCGCATCTGCATTTTGATTTTTAATCGAGGTTAAATGTAGATATATATGGGCCACACCAACACAGCATCTAACTAATACTATAAATTACACTACTGTGGACGTACATTCACACATACACACATACACACATTTAAAAAAAATATATATATATATATATATATATATATATATACAACATGTAACAAAAACCCTGTGGTTCCTGTTAAGTGCGTTGTCAGAATCAGTATCCAAGCGTATAGAAATAATTTTTTTTTTTAAAAAAACGTTTAAAAAATTTATGTAAATGAAAAAAAAATTAATTTGCAAATTGTATGTGGTTTTATTATCTCTGAATTGGCCCAGGAGTAAGAGGATTGTCAAAAACCCCGCAGTACCGATACTCCTATGAGTTAGAGGAAATAAAACCACATGCAAGTTGCAAATTAATTTTTTTCCATTAAAATTAATTTTTTTAAATGTTTGTTTGAAAAAAGAATATTTCTATACGCTTGGATACCGATTCTGATAATGCAGTTAACGGGAACCACAGGGTTTTTGTTACATGTTGTATATATATACGTATGTGTGTGTGTGTGTGTGTGTTCCTGTAGTTTAAATTGGGAAAGAATACAGTTATTATATGTTCAGGAATGTACAGGATTTTTATTTAATAAATATGTATATACAATACTACACTTTAACTTCTATTAATTAAGAAACATTTGTAAGATTATTGTTGTAGAGAATACTTGTGGTATAAAGTTATAAAAATGTATACACACATGATGTTCACAAAGTAATATTTCACCACCACTACCAGTGAACGTTACTTGTGAATCATTTAATTATTCGTTCGAAATGTATAGACACATACTCATAATGTACTTACGAGTATTACAGCTAGTTCGATAGTCGTTAACCATTATAAATCAACAAAATATAGACCAATGAAATAAAAAAAACACCAATAAATTTTCGTATTAATATACGTACATACTTAAAATATGTATTTACAAATGAATATTTTTTATGGAAATGCAATGTGGCCAAACAATTTTAATATTTAATTATAATTTATTTATATCCTCTTAGGTATAGTTTAATTATCATAATAATGATAACATTGATTATTCTTCTTCTGTGCTGGAGGATCCACTTAATACCTTGTCATACATATCCAGTAAGTAGTCATACTCCTCGTTCAAGTCATCATAAATAAACTTTTTCATTGTGTCCCCCTCCAAATGAAATTCCGGGGAGAAAAGGCTAGAAAATAATTTAATTTTGGTAAGTGATATATGTGAAATTCACACAAAAACTTTAGGAACAATTATTAAACGATGCATTGATAGAGTGACAAAGTTATTTAAATCTGTAGTAATTTATTGTAAGATTTGTTGTTGCCTGTCAATTAGTAAAATCCAGTCTAAAATATTGTCCATGTAAATTAAACGAATGAAAAAAAAAATGATGTATTTCTGTCCACAGTAGTAAATTGGTCTCAGAATATTTAACATAATTTTAATTATGGATGTATATTTTTACTTGTCTTCAAATTGATGTTTAGTTTGATGTTACATGTAAAACTGTTATTTTTGACCACAGCATGGCACTATTGAATAACAAACTTTAAAATGCTTTAATTTATTAAATAGAATTGATGTTGCAATAAGATCTTGTATTTTTATTTTATTACAAATTCCTATCCAGAAGAGAGGGGGGGGGGAAGTCAAGTTGATATTGATACGCGCTCCAGTCAACGATACACTAGCGCCATCTAGTGTCAGGAACGAGAGCGAGGGGAGCATTGAGAAAATGACATCACAAATCACTCAACCGACAGCGCCTAGTCGAAACTCGAACGCTCGGTACCTTGCGCGGGTTTACTTGAACATTCTGGATATTTCTTTGCTAATTTATATAACTAGGCGCTGCAAGATGCGAGCGGGACAGAGTTGAACTCGGCGACACAAGCGAAGTTTCGGAGCGGAATTAAGTGAATTAGTGTGTTTAATTATTAGTGTTTTTAGTTTTAATTTGTGTAAAGTAAATTAAAGTGTTAATTTAGGTAATTTTATCGGCAATTTTTATTGTCACGAACCTCAAGCTCGTAACAATATATAGAGGTGGAAAAGTTAAGGTACACGAGCAAGACATAATTTATACGTGGTAGAGCCATGCTGCAGCTATATTAAAAGTATAGTTATAGCACGAATGGGTTGGCTTAACCGGGAAGGACTACGCTCTCACAGAATACCAGCGTAAAATAACAGCTTAACTTTTATGTGTTTCGTATGGTGATGGTAAAGAACCGGAGATCCTTTTTACTGGATGCGAGGCATTCCATCTCAGTCCTCACGGGTGACAACGCATCTACATTTTGATTCGTAATCGAGGATAGATCTAGATGTCTATTAGCTGCAGCAACCACTCACCAACAGGCGGATTGTGTGCTCGTTTGACACCTTTATCCTGTAAAAAAAAAACATGAATCTTTACACTTATTGCGAGTTGTTACCTCTACGGCGATTGTAATAAGAACGGTACAACTTCCACTGTGTAAAGCTCTACGAAACCGTGACTGTACAATAAATAAGATTGTTTACTTTGCATTTGACTATATTTTGTGTCGCTAGGGGGAGGGGCAGCTGCTGCATGGCGACGCTCAAGCCTAATTTTAACCTTTTTTAGGGTTCCGTAGTCAACTAGGAACCCTTATAGTTTCGCCATGTCTGTCTGTCCGTCTGTCCGTCCTCGCTTAATCTCTGTGACCGTTAGCACTAGAAAGCTGAAATTTGGTACCAATATGTGTATCAATCACGCCGACAAAGTGGTAAAATAAAAATTGGAAAAAAAATGTTTTATTAGGGAAGCCCCCCTATATGTAATGTGGGAAGTGATTTTTTTTTAATTTCAACCCTAACGTGTGATATATTGTTGGAAAGGTATTTAAAAATGAATAGGGGTTTACTAAAGTCATTTTTTGATAATGTCAATAATTTCGGAAATAATCGCTCCAAAAGCAAAAAACAATGTGTCCCCCCCCCTCTAACTTTTGAACCATAAGTTTAGATAATATGAAAAAAATCTGAAAAGTAGAACTTATACTATAAGGACTTTCTAGGAAAATCATTTTGAACTTGGATGGAAACAACAGTACCCACTACCGGGAGCAGTTGCAGGAGCGGAAATGGATACCCACCTTTAAACTCCTAAGTGGGAACACTTATTGTGACGGACGGGAAACTACGGAACCCTACACTGAGCGTGGCCCGACACGCTCTTGGCCGGTTTTTAATACAAATAAGTGTGATAAGTAATAACAAATTCCACCTGATGGTAAGTAGACGCTGTCCATTACACATAAAATCTATAATATTTTCGTTTAAGAGTCAAATCTGAATGAAATGAATTTAATCCTTAAAAATAGGGTTAATTTTGCTTCTGCATTCATTTTTATGTAATAAGGGTGACAAACGAGCACACAGTCATCTGATGGTAAGTGGATGTTGTGGCCCATATACGTCTACATTTATCGTCAATTAAGAATCAAAATACAAATGCGATGTCACCCGTTCATTCGTGCACAATATAGCTGCAGCGTGGCTCCGTTTTAATTCTACATAACAATAATAATAGGTGCAAGATATAGTAAAATGGCTCGTTGATTTAAATGTACGAAACGCCCTCTTTAATCGAAGAAAACATTGATTTTGTATAATCAGCGTGCAGCAGTTAGACAAAGCCTTCTGCTAGCCGCCTTACGCATTGATTATATTAACTCAATGCTAGTATTTTTATCACACACTGGCAATCGAGCCTTTATTATGATAGATTGATATATAAGTTCAGTCTTTCCGAAGAAATGTGACTACAAACAACAAGGATAATTACATATAAGGATGCGTAAGTACCTTTTATAAAACGTCATCATCATCATTATATTCCAGAAAAAGTCCACTGCTAAACATTTACCTACCGTAAATCTCGCACTTTGTTCGTTCTGAGTCACCTACATTCATTCGACTTCCAGCGTGATTCATCAGGTCGTAACTGCATCTACTCTTTCAACACTGTGCTTGCTTGCTTGAAGCTGTCATTCGAGAATGTTACTTCAGCTTCGTTTGCCAGTTCTTTATTTCATATATCTGAGAGAGGGTAAACGAGCATGCCGGCCAACCCCAAGCACAGGGGAATTGCAGATGTATTGTCGGCCTTTTAAAAAGAGTAGGCTGTTTTCTCGAAGGCTCCTAAGTTGATCCCACAAAGAAATTGTGCCAGGAAGAATACTAGTAAATCGCACAGTGGTGGACTGCCAATCATCCAGATGGTATGGATGGGTCCGCGAGTTTTGTCGCGATGCTGAAATTTTGCAGCTGGAAACAGCTTGAACAATTCCTTTGAGCATTCCCCAAGGTAAATGCGACAAAATATGCAACACCTCTTCGCAACGCCATTGAGTCAAGCCAATTAGAAATAACTCGGTCGTCGACGATTCGAATGGCTCTGCGAGAGATACGATCAAGTGGCAGGAGCTGGCACAGGGGTGTCCCGACCCAGAGATGAGAACAGTATAATATGTGAGGCCCCACTTACGCCCTGTAAAGTAGCAAGCGGTGTACCGGCATGAATTAGCGCCCCGCTCTACAAAACACGTCAAGCTTTTTAGAGGCCACTTTGGCCTTCTCTTCCAAGTGACCGAAGAACCGAACGTCATTCGATATGTCGACGTCGAGGATTCTGATGTTTGCTGAGGCAACAAGAGAAGTGCTCTTAAATTGAAGAGATACGACATGACGGATTGAACTGGAGTAGATTTATTTAGTCGCCCCCAATTCGAGACTTTGTTCAACAAAAATTCTACTGTTTATACTGACAAGTTTATTCCGGTACTCGACGACAAACTAAATAAGTATTAACACGGCCGGTGTGTAAGGTGCTGTCATCTGTCAGTGCTTGGAGCCGGAGAATGCATCTGAGAGAAAACTGGTGATCCAATTGCATAATTTCTTGGAAAATCCATAAGACGCAACCTTAGATAAAAACGCTTTAAGCCAAACCCGATAGAAGGCTTTCGCTATGCCCAAACTAACCAACCGCCAAGGCCTCCCTCTTGGAATCGCCCGCCTGCTCCCATCGGTGTGTTATGTGAACAAGAAAATCACCAACACCGACTAAAACCGTACTAGCGGTCACTAATCTGCTTCTGCTCGTCAGCTCCTGTTATCAGAAAGATACTGCTGCTGCTCATTTCCTGTCTCAATTTAGCTCCGTTGCTTCTAAAGACACCTACGGGAAGATGTTGGATAGTGAATATTCCAACACCGTTACTTCACGGTAAACAATTACATGGATTTATAATCATCGAAGATCATTTTATTATATCAATATTTCACTTTCTAGAAAAAGTCTCCAAGATTTTCTGTTAAAATAAATCTTTTTGTACATGGTAGAGCCACGTAGTAACTATATTATAGTTTTAGCACGAGTGGGTCCGCTGGCCGGGGAAAGACAACGCTCTCACAGAATACCAGCGGCTAATGGCGGCTTAATACTGCTGTGTTTCGTATGGTGAGTATATATCAATAAATCAAACATTGCAAATTAAAGGCTATGAGTATATATTTTGTGTAAGGGAATAACGTAAGCCATACGCCACAGTGAAGGAAATTCTTCAGAATCCAAGGAGAAATTAATGATGTGTGATATGACTGGGAAGACATGGTCAAGTATATAGATAATGATCATCCGTCAGCTGATATTGTCGCAACCTACGGCATTAGATTTAATGGAAAGGTTTATCTTCTCGATCTCATCCATGACTACTGTGGAAAATTGAAAGAGATAAATACCGGGACGAGCTAAACCCTTTAATGTGTTCAACAGTAAGACGATTGGTCTGTTGATTAAAAGGAATGTTGAAGACAAAATTAAAATTGATATCATCCAGAACAATCGTCTTCTGAAATTCGAAACGTTGTCGTTTACCGATACACAATGGTTCTAAGGAATTTCCGGATATTAGCAGTGGAGAGTAATAAATTGGCGTTAGCATTGCTTATCATCTGATTGCATCGATTCTTGATAATGAGTTCAGTTTTGATCATTTCATCAATTTACCGAAAGACCGATTCTTACATCTCATCGCAATTCGAAGCCCAATCGTCGTCCATGGCGCAGGTGGCCGCTTGAGCTTCACACGTCCAAGGATAGTTTCCTTTAAAACCCCGACCTTTTGGTCCATAATGGGTACAGCAACCACGCTGTCCTGTTTATTTTGGATGCATCCATACAAAGCTTGTCAACATCCAAGTGACCAAAATAATGCAAGTGAATAGTTTTTGCTGGAGGGTTAGGAGGTTTTAGGGCGTAAGAAAGGAAAAAGAGGTCATGATAGGAGAAAGCAGATGCAGAGTGAGAACCGTGGAATAAGACAAGAGAAAGAACAGAGGTAAAGATTAAATCAAGTCAGGTATAAGTACTGTAGCCTTGCAGTCCTCTTTCACCTCTTCAGCAACACCTAAGATAAGGAGAGTCTTTTGTCGATGTCTGGTCTCAATAGTGTCAACCATATGGGAGCACTCATTAATTTGTTTACGGAGCAGACCAAGCATAGTGAACATGAGTTCACGGAAGGTTCGAAACTTCTCAACCACCTTTGCAACCGTTTCCTTGGCGGGTAACCCGTATGTAACTGTGCAGTGTACAGTGCTTCCAGTACAGCCATCCTTTTTGAAAAGAATTCCTCAAAACTGTTCTGTGCAGTTTTAATCTCTTCGGGTTGAGACATTGTGTTGTGCCAAGATGAAATCCGAGTTTGTGTAATATGGTGGCAGGTGATGTATATCAATGAATTCACCATACACAGTTGTACAAATTTAATTACCAAGATAACGACGTTAATTAGCACTTAAATATGTATAACAAATTATGTAGAATATTGTAATAGTTAATTTAAATTCTTAATTATAATTTTACGTATGTGTTAACTTGTTCTTCACCTACCGCCGAATTTTTCATACATATACATTTTATGGATTATTTTTCATTCATAGAATTTTTGTGTACTAAACAGCTTGCTCGACTTCGTGAATTGTAAGAACTATAATGTAGTATTTTATCTTACTTCGCAAGGGTGCCGACGTACATGCATTTTGATTTCAAACGATAACAGATGTATGCCCATGGGATCCATCATCCACTTACGTGATATCACAATACACATTCGGTGGATTGTGTGCTTGTTTTTCACTTGAATAGAAATGGAAGCGAATATGACATAGTCTATAGTTATGCAGGATACTATTCCGCTGAGGGATAGTTTCGAGTACCATAACGCGCAGTACGATTACGGCCTAGACATTGTTATTTTTTAGTTTACGAAAACGATGTAAATGCGTATCGCCAGATCATCCAAACCCAGAAGGCGAGCAATTTTTTAAATATCTTTATGCCGAACTTATTTTCAAAGCTTATGTTACCTTCAGCACAAAATGAAATCTTATACAAGTAGGTATATATTAACATACAGTCCTATTCATATACAGTAGTTTGTTATTTTACCTGTTGACACAATTCATGAAGCCTCTTAAGTGTTCGCTGTTCAAAAGGTGGACGAGGTTACTGTAACCGGTGCAGTTCTTCCACTGAGCATCCGGTGCCATTAGCATTGCAACTACTTTTCCTTGACATATTAATGGCGCTCCGTACATTCCCTGTGTCATTACCAACAAATAAATTAAGTTAGTTTTGTCTGTGTCATGTTTTTTGTTAGGTATGTCCATAGAATACTATAATACACAATATAATGGCTTCAAAATCAACTTTTTTTTGTACGAGGCTTGGCGTCCCCAAACCCGATTCGCTGTGACTGTGTGACTGAATAAATTTACACATTTTAGACTTTTGATTAATGTTCAAGATCATCATTAAAAAATCGTTTAAATTTTAAAACATATTTATTTGTAAATAGGGTGCAATTTGTCATTTTCTAAATAATTTGCATGCGAAATTTGGAAACGATTTTAACGTCAAAACACATCTCGTGTTGACATTTATACGTGTGAATTGACATGTTAGTGAGATTTTAGTGGCTACGCGGGCTCCGTCCTCTCCCCCGTTCTATTATGTATGTATTATAGTATTCTATAGGTATGCCTATGCACATATACAACGGATATTCCTTTGTCCGTTGGTTTTTATTAATACCGTAAGACCTGAGAAAAGAAATGACTACCAATGTCGGTTCTCCTACGACTGAGGCAATACTCTTGAAAAGTTTTATAATGTTACTATTAAAATTGTACGTGTATGAGATCTTTTTCTGAAAAAGCCCTTTTGGGACCCACTGTCATGTTCTGTTTCGGAAAAAAAGTTTGCCAGTATGTAATTACTCGTATATACAAATAAATAATACAATTGCAATTCATATATATTAATATAATAGTATAGGTTGTGAGGCAATTATTTTATGATAATTATCAGGGGTGGAAATAAATCTGTAACCTTTATAGTTTGAGTTTTATTGCGGACGTCCATGTGCTACTATAGCCACAAACAATCTGTCCATAAACAGGAAACAGCCTACGGAGAGGTTTTGTTATCATCACCTGGCTGTGATTGTTTTTCTGTTAGATCTCGCTGCCCGTCGCTCGAGTACTTTAAAATTTTTGTTAGACATTGACACCTACATTTATTCTAAATTAAGAATAAAAATGCAAATATGTTATCACTACTGAGGACTAAGATGAAATACCTCGTTTCTAGTAAAAAGACTCTCCGATTCTTATCACTTGCCATGTGAAACAAAAGCATAATGCTGCTATTGCCTGCTATTGCCTGCTGGCATGCAGTGCGAGCATGGTCCTTGTCGGGCCGAGCTCACCTGTTCGTTCTGCAACTGTAATAAAACTATATTATGGCTCCACCGAGTAAAGGATGATAAGATCAGTAAAGAAATTCCTCCCTTTATCGGAAGCCACGAAGATCTCAGCTTATGCTATACGAAATTCTATTTGAAAATTTTAGCCAAAAGTACAAAAATAAGCCTTAGGTTACTAACACAAAAGATCCTCACATAAACCTTTATGATATTTATATTGAAAATATTGACGAATAAAAGTTAGCTGTTACAATTTGTGTTAATATTTTCATAAACATTGGGAAGTTGGAAGTTATTAAGGTACCATAGCCATCAAGAATAATAAGCGATGTAAGGAGATCATTGAGTAAATGTAGGTAAATAAATATTTTAGTGAAGATAAATATTTGTTAAATATTGCAAAAGACTAGAGTCACTAAGAAAGTTCCTTTGTTACTGACTTTAGCTTGAATTGTTATCAAATCCTGGTACTAAAGACAATTTATAATTATATATTATATTTAAATTATTATATTATTTTATTGTAAATTATATTTTACATGAAGGTCGGCGAAGAACACTCGTGACAGCATAACCTGAAGGTGATGAACCATGGTGTAGTTTGAGCAATATTGCCAAGATCGCTGTGTATATCTATCACGCTCACAGCATACAAATGAATATATTATGCACTAGCGTTTTATCCGCGGCTTCGCTCGCGTGAGCTTTCGCTGAGGAACATTATTAATACTGCTCCAAAATCCATAAAGTTGGATCACTTGTAGAGTCGTCTCGTTGTCACGTTTGTTAGTCAAGTGGTATCTATCTTTTGAATTCTGAGATTATTAGACGTAGATTTTTTAGAATTGCATTAATATCATACGTCTAGCGACCCCTGTCACTTTGTATTTCGGTCATGACTTCCGAGGTATCTTTAATAAGGGTAAATGATGTTTGATTCAAAGTTACATTATTTACTGTTTACTCTTTACATTTAAGTAATTTAATTTTGACCAAATAATGTCGAATTTCGTTGTCTTTCTATTAATGTACGGCAGAGTATTTATTTGCGATGCGATTTTTTTTCGTTTTATATCATTGGCCTATTGAATATTGATTGACACTATAAAATAATTTACTAATCCATCAAATAGAGATAAAAACTTACATACAACTTAATACCAAGAAAGTTAATGAAATTATTGCTATGCCGATATACACCCAATAAGTAAAGTTAATAAAAAGTTTCTCTTTCACAGTTTTGTATACACAGTACCTATGCAGTATAACAGTTTAGTTAGTTATTTTGTTAAACGTGGCAATTACGGTAAATCATCCCTATAATGGTTGGAATTATTTAAGTTTTTGATCCTGCAAGAATAAGTAGGTTCTGTAGCACTATATTTAATCTTATCAGTTATTTATTATTAGTTTATTTAGCAGTAAATAGATGGCAAAATTATAGATTATAATTATGAAAGCCAAAACTCTTAAGTTATGTAAATGTGGCCAGATCGTAGAACTTCAAATATCGCAATCATTTCATGGTAGCCTATTATTACTGACCATCTCTCCAAAGTATATAACAGACACTTCTCACCGTCTGTACGCTTAGATCTTTTAAACTACGCAACGGATTTTGATGAGGTTTTCATCAATAGACAGAATGATTTAAGAGGAAGGTTTATGTATTTATTACATGCATACTCGTATTATAGTAATCTATAAATATAAAAATCAATTGCTGTCCCATAGTCTCACTAAAGCTCACCGATTTTGATGAAATTTTTTGTGTGTTTTAAGTGGATCCCCGTATGGTTTAGATTTACAAGTTGGTTTAGATTTTATATCCGCTAGGTGGCGCTGTTACCGATATCCAGAAATCTCCCGTGCGAAGGGGTAAATCGCTAGTAGGTATCGTATAAATGTCAACGTTTGGCAATTTTATCCTCAATCTACAATTGAATCTACGAAGTCAATTCTCGTTTCACCATAATATCATACGAAATCACAATCTTCGTATGATATTATGGCGAATATCAACGACAGTAGATTGATATGCGGCTGGGGTGATCGTTGGGCTACCTCAAAGCCGCGAACATTTATATATATTATTTAAATGTTCGCGGTAAGGCATAGACTTATGTGGATTGTGTTAAAAATTCTGTTTCTGTTAAAAAAAGCGCCTTCGGCGCAGCTAGCGGCGAATAGTGAAACTATTTTACGATTTAATTAGAATTTTATAAAAAATTTAGTTGTTAACTTCTTCAAACAATGTTTTTTCAACGACTTGGTCAAGCCTTATCGTGATATGGTCAAAAGACAGTGTTAAATTTCAAGAAATGCCAAAATTTCGTGTAATGATCGGATATTCATGATAAAATTAATTCTACGATCTTGCCACGACGTATACAAAAATATCTTTAACTAAAGTGTAATGAGAGTTTTGAAATAATCGCAGGCAAATCAATGTTAATCAGTACATTATTATATATTAGTAATTAAAATAACAACCATCTGAATTTTCATAGATTTCACTATTATCTATTTAAATTATAATGATTAATTAAAATGAAAGAATGAAAAACTTATAATAAATCTTAGAAGTTTCAAATAATTTAATAAATATAATTATTTAAACACATAAATGTTAGTTATTTATGTTGTTAATTTATTAGTAAGTAACTGATAACCGAAGGCTAAATATATAGGTAATTTTACTTTTTATAACAGATGGCGCTGTTTCGGAAACGTACAATGAAGTTAGCATAGTTTCAAATTATTACATAACAGTTAAAACAAATTTTAAACTTTAATTATAAATATTGTACTCGTTTAAAAAACAGTACGTTATCGCGCTTATAACTAACATAATCATACATAATAGAAAATTAACGTTTAGAGAGGAAAATATTTAACGCACCTTTTTTAAGTTCCGTAATCGGATAAAAAGTCTATAAGTAGCCCCGGGTCACTAACTGCCTGCATACAAAATTTCATGGAGATCTGTCCAGTAGTTTTTGCGTGAATCTTTAATACACAGACAGACAGACAGACAGACAAAAATTCTAAAAACCAGTAACTTGGCTTCAGTATCCTTTATTTAGTCCCAGGAAATATTAGAATTACAGACATGACTTTTCTACAGATTTATTATATGTATAGATTTCCCAAGTTTGTTCCGAATAGTTGTCGCCAGCCTGCGTCGCACCCTTGCATCTCGTATTTGTTGATGTATTAGGTAGCTGACATAATTCCCTGGCTTCCGTTCCTCCCCGCACGGGCCTGCCTAGTAGAGGGGAGCTAGATACTGGAGGACACATCTTTGGCCCTCCTGTGAGAGGCCCGCTCGGCCAAGTAGAAAGGGTGATGGCGAAAGCTATTAGATGACGCGCGCCGCCATCACCATCGCCAGTTCAATATAAATTTCATCGTGCCTGCAAGCCGACAATAGTTCGCAATTATCATCGTGCCCGCATGGCCGTAGAGAGAGGCCGCTCGCCGCTTCCTCCAGGTAAGTGCCCATCCTTATTCTTGAGATGTTTTATTTGTTGAGCCTTTATCCGCGTCAGCTCATCTCCCGTCGTGTCGGCAAACGCATCAAATTAATTTCATAGCAAGTGTAATTACCGAAGTCCTTCACGTGCCACGTCCACCATTTTGTTTTGACTTCTTTTGAACCACTCTGATACACTACCACATGATCTTTCGCCCCGCATTTAAAATTGATATTTCTTATTGATAAACTTACGTGACATGGCTGAGCTGCTCGATCCACCTGAAAAATACATAATAACCATATTAAAACTCAAAAATAATTCACTAATTACATTACCAGTAAATGTTTATCTAGATATAACAGCTTTATACTTGACGTAGATTTATTATTGATCAAAACTAAAAAAATAAATAAAAATAAATAAAATAATTTATTTTTCTTCACAAAAATTAAATGAATGACATAGTTGACTGGGATCTCCATTTAAGCAAGTAATGCCTGTGTTTGGAAATCCCGCTCTTCCTTATCTAAACATACATTTTTTAATTTAAAAAACCAAAAATAACAAAAACAAATTACTCGACTTTAACAACCAAAATTTACAAAAATTACAAAAGTGTGTATGTGTGCATGCGTGCGTACGAGCGCGCGCATGTGGGAGTGTGTGTGTGTGTGTGTGTGTGTGTGTGTGTGTGTGTGTGTGTGTGTGTGTGTGTGTGTGTGTGTGTGCGTGCGTGTGTGTGCGTGTGTGTGTGTGTGTGTGTGTGTGTGTGTGTGTGTGTGTGTGTGTGTGTGTGTGTGTGTGTGTGTTAATGAAAAATCATTTTGTTAAATTATATTGTATATAGAAGCGAATTATGAAATGCGGTACAGCAGAAATTCGGTTTCTTCATAAGTTTTCGACTGCACCCTCTTAAGTATCAGGTTTTTACACTCCCTGTACGTTTTGTTGTATATGTTCAATTCTCTATTTATTTTATTGTATAGGAATGCAGAACATGAGCTAAATTGCCTACTAGCAAAAACTGTTTTGGTACCAGAAGGCTTAAACACAATATCTTTTCGCCGCTTTTTCAAGATGCATGGGTCAAAGGACAGGGATTTGTGTGCTTTGAGGATTGTCATAGTAACATATAATTGTCTAACTGAGAGTAAACTACTTATTCTATACAGTTGTTCAGTGGAAAAACGTCTTTTTTTAAAATACATGACCTTAATAAGGGTTCGTTGGGCTCTTTCCAAGTTAAGAAATTTGGTCTTTGTAGCTCCACCCCACACCGAAATGCAATATGTTATGATAGATTGTGCAAGGGACATGTATATTTGGTTAAGAAGATATCTGGGAGAGTCCGATTGCTTAGTACTATCAGGTATTACGTGTCTTAGAGTTTTGAAAATCCAAATCAATTTTCGGGTCCTATTAATGACATGTTCAAGGTGTGGGTACCACGACAGCCTCTGATCTATAACGACGCCCAGATATTTAGTGTGAGAGACTTTTTCAATTGATGGGCAGTCACAAGCTTTGTTTTTAGCATCCTCAAAACACATATGAATTTTAAGGCAAAAGTCATTTTGTGGCTGCAAGTTGTTGGTAATGCTAAAGCAAATAAAAACTGTCTTATTGATCTAGTGGTTATGAACGCGATTATTGATCACGAGATCCCGGGTTCGAATCTTGGGAAGGGCCAAATCACTTATTGGGTTTTTGTCAAGAAATTCTCAGTAACATCCCGGAGTTAGTAAGTTGGCGGTGTCTCACCCCCGTGCCTTGGAAAGTACGTAAAGCCGTTGGTCCTGCGCCTGATCTCTCACTGGTCGTGTCGAATTACCTTCCCAAGTGACTATTAGAGTGAGGAAATAGAGAGTACACCTGTGCTTGCGAATATTCTTGGGTACTTTAATCCTGTCTTGCGTAGATGGCTAGTCTCCATTGAGACTGTCAGACGTGACCGAAATTCGTGCTGGAGGACATTAATTTTATTATTATTGATCAAAAATTGTCACAAAGATCTAGAAAGACACTATCCCATCAAAAACATAAATGTGAAATGAGAGCCAAGTTCAATATTATGATATATGCCTTGGTTGTTGACTTCAACGACAAAATAAGTAAGATCAAAATGGGTGCCAAGTTCAATAGTCAGTCCTGAAATTTATAACAACATAAAATATCATTTCTTCTAATGACTTAGGATAATAACATATTGAAGCCTAAGGTCTGACTTGGCTAGTTCTTATATTATACGAATTATTATGTTGGATGGCTAGTTTCTACCAGCAAGCCAAATTTTCGGTATAATTAAATAAGAACCGATAAGTAACAGGTTTAGAACTTGCGAAGGCTATAATATAATTAAAAAAACGAAAAGGCGTATAAACGCCTCTTCTACGGCCAACTCGGACGTAGGTATTCCTTTCGATGATTTTTATTGGGAATTAAAATAAGTACACTTCATTCATCATCATTATGAATAATGATGACTGGCATCTACGTGCAAAAATCTTCACAAAGTTAATGCAAAGAGTAATTTTGAGGCACAAAGTTATGGGTGGGTTAAATAGAAAATGACCTTAGAAACCTTCAAGAATATTTATCCTTGAAATAAATTTTTACTTACGTCTCGAACGCAGATTGACGACTCCTTATCAGAATATCCTGAGAATCCGAATTGACCGATTCCTTCTTGGAAGTTATACATTATTTTGTCACACCATAAATGCTTTTTCCCTATCTGCAAAAATTGAATGCGCAGGTTTCTTTGCAGCAAAAATTTGCCGTCACGTACTTTGTCCTAAAGGAAAAAAGGTGAAATTTTGCTTAAAAGTACTGTTATAAAAATAAAACGAAGTAAGTTTTACCTAAAATCACGTTCGCTGACAAAATCGACAAATATATTAAATCGTATCAAAATTTTGAATTATTTGTACATAAGATGTCGAACGTCGATACTGATCGAGTACAAAATCAGAATTACACCGACTGAGATATTATGTACTACCTACGAAAGTACTATATATTTATAGAGGAGACATTGCGTAGGAAGTTGTTCCACTACGAGTTGCAGTCCACTGGGCTACAAAACTACAATTACCACGACGTTAGTTAAGGAAGTTATGTAATTATAAAAGTTGTTGTGTACCAACTAAAAACAGTTCTAATCACTCAAGAAAATTATAAAAAGTCAAGAGATGATATTTCATCAGTAAGTAAACATATCACGCGCTTAAAATGTATTTAATTAAACTTATGAAAAATAAGTATTATTATTCTCGATCATTATGGAAGATCGATGTAGAACCACTGCCACTATCTACAATGGACTTCAATAGAGTCTCTGTTAAGATGAACATAGAAAAGAACGTTCACAGAACTGTGTTCTGCAGATAATTTATAAAGAGCAGGAAGAGGGTTGGACCTAACGTACTGCCCTGACTTACCCCTGACCTCGTGAAGTAATCACTGGAGTTACACCCGTCCTCCAGCACATACTGACATCGATTATTCAGAAAGCATGCGAAAAACCGATGGAGTTTGTGGTAAAGCCAATAGATGCCTATTTTTCTAACAATTTGTCGAGGTTGAAGGACTTTCTGAAATCGAAGTGAGCCGTGTCTACTTGTTTGTAATTGTCCATCTCCTTATATATGTAGTCTACATGCGCAATTAAGTTCGTAGTAGTAGAACAAGCCTTACGGAATCCATGCGGGCTATTGTATAACAAATGGCCAACCTTATTATTAATTTCTTTGCTGAGAATAGACACAAATATCTTAGCAAACACTTTGGTTTAAATGATGACACGTCCATATTCTCGTCCCCTGTCCGCCCGGGTGTAACCCTGGAACGTTTCCAATTTTAGGGGTATCTAGGTAGCATTCGTTAGTGATAGGTTACAGAGATGTAAAAAAGTACTCTCCCTCCCCTACTCCCCTCCAGTACCGCTATACAATCTTTAGCCAGAAACCAGGAATGCCATCAGGCACACTAGATGAACGCGGTTGAGACGTTTCACAGTCTCCATCAAATCCCTCGTATTGACAGCGTTTATAGATACGGACGTAATGTCCTGGTTATTAAGTGCAACTTGAGCAGCCTTATTAGGATCTAATAAGGGTATATTCGGATGAAACAAAGGCTTCAGCAGCAGCCTGCCCCTCTACCTCACTAACCTTATATGTATATATAAGTACCCGTACGTCTTCTACCACCTGATTTTTTGTCTTTAATTTAACGTATTCCCAAAATTTTACTGGGTCGTTAATAATATTTCGTTGTACCGATTTTAGATATTGCCTATACTCCCCGTCGATCAGTTTTTTTTTACCTGCTCCCTATAATACTTAAACATTTGCCTATTGAATCTTTTACCTTCCTTTTTAAACCTCTTGATATGATAGTGTTTATTTTTAATATTATTTGTAATTTAAGCAGTATACCATTTAGGATAGGATATACATATCGGTGATTAGTGGTAGTGCGTAAAGAAACGGATACTAAAAGTTATACAGTCGTACAATTTCTCGTAGTACAAGTGAACAGCCCAGTTAATTTCAATCTCTTTAAGTAAATCCGATCAATCTAATTTGGATAAAGCCGCATAATGACCTTAAAAATCTGCCTTGCACCAGCTTCAGTTGTAGCTCTGAGTGTTGGAAAGGGATGACGTTGGTGAAGCAGGAGAAGAATTGAATGTTGGACAAGCGAATGGAAGCTTGATTATAGTTTCAACCGCGGGATGATACTTATCAATTTCTACCAGAGGGTCTAAATTTAGAGAAACAATTATTGATTAGGCTCTAAATTGCTCAGTACGAGATCCAACATACCGCCTCGTCTATTTAATACTGTATTAAAAAAAAATCTAATTGGGTAATTTAACGCTACAAAAATTCAAATTGAAATCACCTAAAATTAATACATTCCTGTAGGTAAAAATAACATCAATACAGACCAATACATTTAAATACTGATCGTCATTATAGTTCGGAGGTACATAAGTATACAAGACAACATAATATTTTGATATTTTTACAATTAATAATTAATAATTATTAATTACATAATATATTAATTCTTTGTCATTAGTCATACGAATACGATCAACGTCAGTAACAACGCGAACAGAATAACAGTCTCGAATAGCAAGCAGAACACCTCCCTACCCAGTAATGTTCGCTATGTCTTTAAGTATTTATTACCTATTAACTATCAGGGAAGAGTTCGCTATCAAATACTGAAGTAGTTAAAAAGGTCTCTGTCAACCTTATGATGTCATATTCACCAAGTGTAACACTGTTCATAAACGTACTTGTTTTTGATCTTAGGCTTCAAACATTCTGATAAAAATATATGCAAAATATACCTCTACATTACGAATACATTTATCAACAACCTCTTTATAACGAATTTTTTCAACTTATGTATATAATTTTTATATTCTAGACTTTGCTTTGTGCGAAGCGTCACTAAATAATTATTGAAACGTGTGCCTACGCAGTGAAAGCGTGTAAAACCGTTACAATAATAAAATCCATTGCTGAACATAGGTCTTCGTCTCCCCTATAGATTGCTTCATATTGGATATTAGTCACACTCACAGTTGCTACACTTGGCAAGCGGGTTGGCAACATGAGTTTATTTTATTTTTAGTCGTCATGAGGAAACCTCCCCTGTTTCCCCCGCTACTGGAAGGGCAAAAAACGGGTAAAAAAACAAAATCCAACAGAAAAATACCACATGGCAGGGCCCGCCTTGTCAAGGACGCCGAGAAATTGTTTTGTTGATATTAATAAAAATTTATCTACGTATAAATTGGTTTATAAGACAAAAATCATAAAGTTAAACCTATCAACAAACTCTTTCGACGGAAACCACATGTTTGATTTCTAAAAATAAAAACTATGGAACAAAAATATTTAAATAAAACTAAACGCACAAAATGTGTTTTTACAGCCAGATGGGCAAGTTTAGGTGCAATCCTACCATGTGTGGATATTTTTTTTTTTGTCTTTCATTTTTTACACTTTCTGTCCGTTTTCTCATTTATTTTATAACAGTAGACAGATTAGCGGTAGCGGCGTAAGAAAAAAAAGTGAAGAAAGTATATGAATAAAGTATGGAAGTGGAGTTGATCGAGCAAGTAGATGAGTTTGTATATTTGTGATGCGTGTGATTTGTGAGGAATGCAAGATACGATAAGGATATAGAACGTCGAGTGAACGCATGAAATAGAGTAAATGAGGCTCTACACTATATTGTGGAAAGTCAGAATGTGTCACAAGGCACGTATGGCAATCCACAATGCTATGTTATTCTCTACTTTAGTGAAAGTTGGGTGTGATAGAAGAAGCACGAGAGTAGAATAAACGAGTGTGCTAGGACTGAATCTGAGTGACAGGGTGAAAAATTGTGTAATAAGAGAAGAGTGTGGTTTGCAAAAAGATGTTGTGACCAGGATTAAGAAAGGAATGCTTCGGTGGTTTGGTCATGTAGAAAGAACGAATGAGATAAGAGTAACAAAGCAAATTTTGTTGTTGTGTGTTACGGCTTACGAGTTCTGGCTTACGAGCCAGAAAGAAAGAAAAGGTTGTGGCATGCTCTGATCACGAATCTGCGGTCCTTTTTTGCGTAGTATGCGCGGTTCCGGAGATGTGTAAATACTCACCACAAACTGAAGTCCACTCATTCTGAATCCTATCAACATTCCAGTCCCATCTTTTACAATTCCTTTTTAAAAACTCTAGATGATATGTACGACGGGTAGGCGATCGTCCGTATGAATCAAAATATTGACCGATGCCATTCGTATCGATACATAAAGCTATACAATGTGAGCCTAGTTTATCATCTGTATCCAAATTGCATATTACGTACGTTGGTACGTGTGTGTACATGGGCAGTCTATTAGTGGTATAAACATTATTTTCTACACTGGGATGAACTTTTCTTTCAAATGTTGTTGTACATCTAGCGTATCCATGATATTATTGCTATTATTGGTAGTTTTTTACATTACCAATCTATTTAATGGTTAACATATGAATGAAAAATTATAGGGATTTGTAAATATTAAATTATTTTATGATAATTTGTAGGAGTCATCGGTGTAGCGTAAGTCATAACACGAAAGAATGTGAGATAAGATCGTTGACTCATAAAGTTACTATCAGTTTCTCGGAAATGCTTTATATTAGATATAATTTACTGGTACTATTATAAGACTAAACAACTGCAGTTATGGAGTCAGTGTATAGTCGTTTGACTGCAGTGAATATATCAATACTACGTTTATGTTACTTCAACGCATCAGTAGTAAGTGTTTATTCTATTGACAAACTTACTTTTCTTTCCGTTGTTTACTTACGCGCACATGCGCTCGCGCGCACGCATGCGTGTGTGTGTGTGTTTGATTAAGTGTAAACAAATTGATATTAACGTGACAACTGTGTTGCAGAAATCATCGCCACACTCGCCACTCCTCAAGAAGAGAGTGATGACATCCTCGTTAATAATAACACATGCGATGGTGAAAAAAATTCCAATCGATTGATCATTTTTTAATTAAATATTATGTAAAAGACAAACGCCCTCGTATACAATATTACAAAGATAATACATATATATAAATTACTTCTGTGCACTCATTATATTCTATTTCTAATCCTTTGCTAGAATATAAATATCGGATATTATTTGAAATTGGGTATCAAACACTAAACGGTTACTTACTCCTGAAGAGAATACGGAACTATTCAAAAGCGAATTAAATCGGGAGTTGTCTAAAGTTTGTGA